CCTATGGCTTTAATCCTATGGCTTAGATTTAGCACATACAGGTTGCAGGTTAGAAAACAGAGAAGGAATGTGGAGAAACATGGACATACTGCTGTGCACTTAGGCCTGCTCCTCTTCAATACAATTTTTAAAATTTCTGTTCTTAGAAGAAATGTACTTAAACTACAATTAAGCTTATTAATATCTGTGTTAAAAGAAAAATCTACTATGAATTAGTGATGTAATTTGCATAAATTAAAAAAAAATTATGCTAATGAACCCTTCTCAATTCTCATTATTTTAATGAGTTAAAGGTATGTGAAGGCAAGGGAAAACATCTAATTTGAGTTCAATGTGATGGCAAGTACTAAATATATCAAATACTTTATTTTCAGCTATTACAGTATTATTTCATTTATTTTAATATAAGTACACAGTGCAAATATTTTTTGCTTTAATTACTTTCAATCTCAATTTCAATAGCAAACACAAAGAAATTTTTTTTGTTGTTGTTTTGAGTTTGGTAAGCTGACTTTAGGTTTGAAAACATTGTTTTTCTCTAGCAGTATACCAATACAAAGTAACGGGGGAAGATAGGAAATCTTATTTAAAAAAGAAAGAAAAAGGCTCTCACAAAGCTGTTTTTAACCTATGTAGGTACTTAAAACACAGACTTATATCCAAGTGACATTTTCAGATACAAATAAACATACGCAAAAGCAATTATATAATTCTGAAAATCCCATCTGACACCATTTATATGATAAAATATGTAAAAACTTTTGAAAGTTTGACCTATTGTTTTCAGCAACTGTATTAAATATAGTTTAAATTGTTTTCTGTAATAAATCAGTCATTTAACATTCAAACATATTCGATAAATTTTATTGAATATGTATGCCCATCATATTTCATGATACCTGTATTTAACTCAGGAAAAAGTCTTAAAATTTCACTGTATGTTTTGAGTTGCACTCTAGTTGCTAACCCAATTGAGAGAAAACACAAAAAACTTATTTTAAAAAGTAATGAATTTTTAATAATTTTCTACCATAATACAAATTTAAGAATCTAAACAAATATATTTTACACTGGACAAACCCTTTAACAATTGTATCACATATCACCTTGACAAGCAAAAAGAAAAAATCTTTGTGCTGCTTAGAAATCTATTTATTTTAAAGATCATTCCAGCTGATAAAAATGACCTTTTCTTTCTGAAGCAAAACAAGAATAGCAACAATTATCTAAATCAGTAACTCTTACTTGCTGATTTCAATCACGATTAAAATAAAGCATCTAAATCAGTTTGATTCAAAGAAATCTATCTTACTTATAAGTACTTGATTAAGCAGTGTTAATGATCAATTTATGTGATACTTTTGCATTCAAATTGATTTCAAGAGGAATACCTAAATTATTAATCTGTGCTTCTCAAATATTTTTCCCAGCATAATGTGTTTTTGAACCACAGGTACACTAAGCTTATGTTAACTTTAGTTGCATAAAACCCTTGATTACCAAAACAGTAAATATATTCTCTAAAGTTAAAGTAAATATAAGGTCTTACATACCTTCCCCAAGTGTTACATCAGTTGAAGGTGTGGGAAGACTCACCCTTGACAACCAGCTTTCCCCATGGAGGAGGATGCTACTATTGGTTTGTCCCTCAGCTTCTCATTACCTCGTGGTACCTTCTGCCAGTTGAATCCCCTAAATTCTGCCAGCTGAGAGGTTTGCATAAACATTCCCCAGTGCATGCCATTAAGATGAATTTAGTTATTGTCAAATCATTTAAATGCTTTAAATAGTGTCTGTTGAGTAATCTGGTTGGTATAAATGAAATAGTTTAGGAGCCAGATCAGAATGTGGGTAAGCACTTTCCCAGTAGCACAGGTAGGCTTAAAAAAAAAAAGGATGTTTGTCTACAACAAGGGAGTCCATATCTTTAGGGTTAATCACAGCCTTATCCTAGAGTGAATCAGCAAACATATTTCAAAACATAAACCAGATGATAACATATCAAGACTCAAGCATTTAAACCACAACTTTCCAAAGCATTCTAGTTTCTTGTGCAGCTTTCTCTCTCTCTTTGTAACATTTAGTTCCCAATCCAAAAGCCACAGGTAAAAAGCTTACAGGATCTTGGATAGATTGTTCTTGCAATTTAAATAGTGGCTTCACATTTGGTAATTGAGGCTACTTGAAAACTAAAGAAACTGGCTTCAAGATTGCAACAACCTTATCTGATGCTGTATGCGTTGCACTTAGGAGTTCTAATGTTCTTTGCTCTGAAGTTATTAAGATACTTGATCTTATAATCTCTTGCTGCAGTAGCTAATCATTTATATTCTGATAATCAGCTATACCTGAATACCCATTACAATGTATCTTACTTTTAAAGTATGCAAGGGGCAGTTTAATACATTATTTTTCTATGATCATTCATTTTCATGTTCTTAAATGTTCTCAACTTTGTACATTTAAAATGACTTACATCTATCCATGCTATTTATTGTGTTCTGCTTATTTCTGAATTTGAAAACACAGCTTTGTGACATATGCCCTCCGTTCCTTCCTTTAAGCAGCAATTTCTTTAGCCATGGAAATATATCATTCTACTTCCTTGTAACGTTAACA